TGCTAACAGAACCTGCTGCTAACTAACAGAACCTGATGCTAACAGAACCTGATGCTAACAGAACCTGATGCTAACTAACAGAACCTGATGCTAACAGAACCTGATGCTAACAGAACCTGATGCTAACTAACAGAACCAGCTGCTTACAGAACTTGCTGCTAACAGAACTTGATGCTAACAGAACCTGATGCTAACAGAACCGGGTCTGTCTGGGCTGCAGTGACAGCTACATCGTGAGAGTCAAAGCCGTGGTGATGACCAGAGACGAGACCAGCGGCGGCTGGTTGGCCCAGGACGGCTGCCTGAGCAGAGTGGGCGTGGTCAGATTGTTGCCAAGCAACCTGCTGGGACGCAACACCTTCCTGATCCACGGAGAGCGGCTCAGAGACCACCAGGTGAGTCCAACAGTGGAGGAGGACAGGTGAGACATGATGTCCAACATGATGTTTGTTTGGACCCTCAGGTGATTCTGGAGTGCATCTTAAAGAAGGACCTGGTCTACACGAAGGCCACGCCCACTTTCCACCACTGGCAGGTGGACAGCAGGAGGTGTGGTCTGACCTTCCAGAGTCCAGCAGATGCTCGGGCCTTTGACCGAGGAGTGAGGAAGGCTCTGGAGGACCTGACTGAAGGTATCCTGGTGGTCCTTCAGCAGAGACCCACGGGTCAGAATAACAAGCTCCGGTTCAGTCAGAAACCCAAGAACTGGTCCTGAGTCCAGAGACCAGAGACCAGGACCTGGTTTTTAGTCTGGATTTTTATTACCAGGTTAAAGACTCACCTGGACCAGGTCGCCTCAACTGGACCAGGTAGCCTCACCTGGACCAGGTAGCCTCAACTGGACCAGGTAGCCTCACCTGGACCAGGTAGACTCACCTGGACCAGGTAGCCTCACCTGGACCAGGTAGCCTCAACTGGACCAGGTAGCCTCAACTGGACCAGGTAGACTCAACTGGACCAAGTTAAAGACTCATCTGGACCAGGTACAGACTTACCTGGTCCAGGTAGACTCACCTGGACCAGTTAGACTCACCTGGACCAGGTAGACTCAGGTGTGTTGGATTTTAGGTCAGCTGGGAGAACTTCAGTGTTGAAGGATCATTATTAGGGTCATGCCCCCCCCCTCAGAACTCTGTCCACTTGTCTCCAGGCTCGACCACGTCCTCGTCCACACTGCAGAATGAGGCGGAGCTCGGTGACGATGATGTTTTCACGGTGAGAACCTTCTTTCTTTCAGCTGCAAGTAAGATACTGACTACTCACAACTAAAGTGTCAGACCCTGGTTTAGACAGATGGATGATGGATGATGGATGGATGATGGATGGATTGATGGATGGATTGATGATGAATGAATGATGGATGGATGAATGGATGATGGATGAATGATGGATGGATGGATGATGGATGATGGATGAATGATGGATGGATGGATGATGGATGAT